GATCGACGCGCTGTAAAATGCCCAGCAAGTTAAATCCCATTATTTCCTATGGGCATGGTTCTCACTGGCCGTATTTCAGCGCGTCGAAACGCGTGGAAAAACGCCCTACGCCCAAAGAAGTACAGGAGCTTCGTTGGGGCGTTATTCCGCGCGTATCCATTAGGATACAGCCAGATAGCCCTCGTAAACGCGCGTTTTGCGGGCGCACGCAATTTTAAGGCTTGACATGTTTGGTGTCTATTTACCCGATGTGACCTCAACTTTTATACTTGTAAAATATGTTTTACTAAAAATATGGGTAAGAATAAATGTTTTATGACATAATGTAGGGAAACTTTTTTTTAAAATAAATTTATGGTACTTTTTTCATTATATCGTAAACCCCCCCAGTGGTGATCATATACCTCCAAAAGAAAGCTCTATCTGTCACCAAAATTTTTTTTTTTACATTTCAAGGCTATAGTCCTGTAATGCTGACTGGTGAAATTTTTGACTGACTGGTGAGACGCTATCAAATTTTTCAAGCCCTGTATATGTGTGTAAAAATGAGTTTTATGTTTTGTTAGTCTGATAAGAAAGGTAACATTTACACACACACACACTTTACTTTTAGGGGTCTAAACAGACCCCTGATATTTCCCTTTTTAAAATAGAGGGCTTTGTGTCCTCAATCTCTTTTTTTCTATCTCTTTTTCTGTATCCCCTGTTAACAGTGAACAGGAATCCTCTAAGTTTTCCTGTTCATTCATAACATGAGGGCAGAGTATGTTTACTATAACCACAATTATGAATGAACAGGAGGTGATGCAGATCACCCCTATTCATTCATAATTGAGGATATAGTAAACCTACCATGTCCTCAATTATGTACAAACACTCACTGATCGCTGAGTGTTTTGCATTGGCTCTCCTCTCTGACACGCTATCACAGGAGGCTGAGCGAGCGATGCACGGACGAGAGCTCAGCCTCCTGTGACAGCGCGTGCTGTCTCTGCTACCACACCGATCTGCCGGACTGTGATAGGAGGCTGAGCGGTGTGGGAGGAGAGATGCCGGTCGCTCACAGCGCTCTCCTCCCCCAGCGCTCGGCCGGCTGTCACACTTTCTCTCCTCCCCGCTGGGACACAGAGCAGCGCCCAGCGGGGAGCAAAGAAAGCAGGGATGCGCCGATCTATCGGCAGAAAAATGGCACTTTTGTCATTTAGCCAAAAGTGCCATTTTTGGCCGATTATGTTATATACTGTTTTTAAGTGGGTAAGCCGTATTAGTCCAATAGACAAGATTTAAAAAAAAAACGTGGTATTGCAGTGTACAATGATACCTTTTTTTTATCGGACTAGCATAGTACTGTATATAAAAGACAAGCTTTCGAGAGTGAACCTCTCTTCAGGTCAGAAGCAATACTAATAAACATGACAGTTTCAATTGCTTAATCACAAGTAGGGCTGCAACAACTAATCGACATAATCGATTATTGAAAAAGTTGTCAACTTTTACAATAATCGATCGGCTTCCGATCAGTTGGCCCTGTTCACAGCTCCACACACTGTGCGCCGCACCTCCTCCCCACCTCACGCTCGCCGCTGCCAGACCCGCTCGCATCCACGCTCCACACGCCGCACCTCCTCACATTTCCTGCCCATCCACATCCATGATTGGCACAGGGACGCGGGGAGATGTAGTAAGGAGGAGCAGGTGTGGGGGGATGACAGCTGCTGATAGACAGGTCTGATCTCAGAAGCAAGTTGCTGGAAGACTGCACTTTCCCCCACATGGTGCTCTATAATGTATTGCTGGGATTTGTATTCCTCTATAGCTGATGGTACATTGTACTGTATATTATACCATCCGCTATAGAGGACTACAAATCCCAGCAATACATTGTACACTGTATGTATAATGTACTATTGCTGGGATTTGTTGTACTCCTCTATAGCTGGTGACATTCTGCATTGCGCTGTATAGAGGACTACAAGTCCCAGCAATAATACATTATACAGCGCAATGCGGAATACCACAAGCTATAGAGGACTACAACACATCCCAGCAATAGTACATTATAAAGTGGTACAATGCTAAATATCACCAGCTATAGAGGACTACAAAACCCAGCAATAGTACATTATACAGCACAATGCAGAATGCCGCCAACGATAATGTACTATTGCTGGGATTTGTAGTCCTCTATAGCCGTTGCCATTCTGCATGCATTGCTGTATAATTTTACACTTTCCATTTCACTATATTGCACACCACACTATCTTTTTTTTCTTTTTTACTTTCACCGGTCCAAGCTTGCTCCTGTGATGGACTACAATCTCAATACAAACTAGTAGTCCCATCACTGGAGCCATTTTTTAAACTTTATTTTATAGTTTATCCGATTAACCGATTAATCGAACTTAATAATCGGCTAACTAATCGATTTTGAAAATAATCGTTAGCTGCAGCTCTAATCACAAGCCCCCATGTGATAGCAGATTAGTGGTGACAGGTCCTCTTTTAAGGTGAGGTAATACTGGGGGGTCCAAAAGACCCAATTTATCGCCTTTTATACTCGAAATAAGCTGTTGAAGTGCCAATGGCACTTCAATAGCTTATTGCTGGGCCTCAGGCGCCCAGCACTGACAGCTATGGGACCGGAAGTGCTGTAATCTGCATCGCTCCCAGTCCCATAGCACGGGGAGGAGATCGTTAATCAGAGGTTCACCGATTTCCTCCCCAGCTTTCCCCGTGACACCAGAAAAGCCGGTCCTGGGCCCATAGGAGGGGCATTGGAGCCCGGGAAATGCTGGGTGGTGGAGTGTTTACCGGTCTGTAGAAGCGATCTGGCGGCAGCTGAGCCGCCAGAATCACTTCTACTGTAAAGCCGACAGTTGCCGACACTTTACAAGTGTAAACAGAGTCCTGGCGGCTTTTGCGCGGTGCCTGATGCCAGTGATGTACACAGTACATCACTGCTCATGAAGGGGGTTAAACATATTTTTTTTTTTTACATGGGGGGGTGAGTTTTAAATTTTTTACACTTTATTGCTATCACATGGGGGATAGCGAAGAGGATGTGACAGGTCCTCTTTATGGAGACATCAGGGGACATCCCTAGGTGACCCCTAATGTCACCTAGGGATCTGCTTTGCCAGCTTCTCTCTGGCTTCAAAAGCTGGAGGAATGACAGCTGAATGTGGAAGTGATGTGCTGGTCTCCCTTCAATCTCTGGTCACAGAGCCGATGGGCCTGCACGGGGCATCGCTAAGCCTGGTATAGGTGGAGGGACCAATCGAATTACTTTCCGTCAGGTATTTGCCGATACCAATTACTGATATTTTTTCTTAAAGGGACAGGTGGCATTTTTTCTATAACAATACAGACTAATGAGTTTTGTGCAGTTTCAAACCAGAGCTGCCTCCAAACATCACCAGAGCTCCAGGGAGGTGGTGAGCTGATCGGGGCAGATTCCTGTCTTGTTCTGGCTCCGAGCCTGTTTTTGCGGTGTGTGGCTGCCTCGAGCCGTGCCTGTTCTGGGAGGGAGGAGGAGGAGATGTGGGACCTGGCAAGCACTGTCAAAAATAGCTCATGTAAAGGTCCCCGGCAGGCTGCCTCAGGTCCCTACAAGTTCGGGACCTTAGGCAGCTGGTCTGATTGTAAAAATTTAAAGGGCCAGTATCGGTCTTTAGTATCGGAGCATGGTCATAAGTACTCATGAAAATGCCCTGTATCGGCCTGATCAGGATATTGGTATTGGGACATCCCTATAAACAGCCATTGTTTGGCTGTTTAAAATACAAACTGTTTCCCGCTCGTGTGCATGCTCTGGAGCGGGAGAAAGGATGTTTTAAAATGCCCACCAGCATCTAGGAAGCCACTGTCCGGCCATTTTAACTAAACGGCCGGATGGTGGCTAAAGAAGTTTAGTGGATAAGAAGACCGTGGATTTGGAGACCGGGTCTGTGCAGGCGTTACTGAATGGCATCGATGGAGGTGAACAAGTAATGGTGCCGGTTTTGAACCTGGATGGAGGGAGAAATCTTCTGTGTTTTACTACATATGGGAAAGCGCTGTTTTGTCATGCCTGTTTAGATAACCAATAACCTCCTGGTGAGTGAGCTGTCTGGAAGGTAGACCACACTGGTGGATGTGATTTTTGTGATTTTTCTTTTTATTAAAATGGACTTGTTTTTATCACTGGAGCACTTTGATGTTATTTGGGACTATTTAATTCACACACTTTTTTTATATATTTATATATCCAAGTTGATGAATTTTTTTTTTATTGAAGGTGGAATTAATCATTTCTAGATCTAATTAGGATGAAATATTGTGCATAGATTTTACACTTTTTTTTTTTTTTAATATTGTTGAGCACTGTATAGGGATTATATGCACGGTGACAGTTATTTACATTTGCAAAGTTTGACAATCACTGCTGCTGTTGTATTTTCATTATTATGATTGATGATAGGGCTAAGTGCGGATTATATTAGAACACAACTTTTAAGAGTGTTGTCATTTTAGTCAGGGATTGATTTGTAAAGAAGGATAATAAAGATTGATATGTTCTAAATGTGTTTTGACATGTAGCTAAAACGTATTTTCTATACAGTTGTTTTTATTTATTTATTTTTTGTGGTTTAACTTTGTGTCTACTGCGTATTTTGTAGCCACTATTAGAACAAGTGAGCTGCTAAATGATTAAGTATTATGGATTCCTTGGGCTTCGTTCACACATTAGCGGTTGGAAACGTGCTAAAAATCATTTGAATGATTGACACTTGCGCGACTTCCGCGTGGTGCAAAAACGCGTGTCACGTGAAAAAAGCCGCAAACGTTCAGAATCCACACTTATGTTAAAGTTTGCACGTTTTCGTGCGCGAAAACGCTACCGCTATGTGTGAATGGAGCCTTATTCTTCTGTAGAGGCCTCCTGAGTACTAGTTGTTCTTCAGCTAATTATGTAAACAATTTTTCTTAAATCTAGAATTGTCCTTTTGTTCTCTCTGCAGATCTGTAAGCGTTCACAATGGATGACAAGCGACTTTGGGAACACATTGGGTGTAGCTTTGTTCAACATTATTACCGCCTGTTTGACAGTGATAGGACACAATTAAAATCTATATATGTGAGTATCTTTGTTTAGCAGTTTTGCTTCCGGAGAATTTTTCTCTTCCATTCCTTATAGGATATAGGGGACATCTTGAATCTCTGACCATAAGGTGGTGCTGTAACCCATTGGTCAGATATTCAAGATCTAAACTCAAACTGTTTTCAATAATTAATCCAGATCAAACAAATAAGCATTGCCATTGCTTTACATTTTTGCCCAAACAAGCTGTTTCTGAGCAGTTGCTTCCAAGTCTCTCAGCTCAGCTTCTCTAAACTTCCTGTCCAGTACAAGTTCACCAAGAACAGTGCGGACTCCAGCAACTGGTGATCTAGTTTGGAGTAGGGAGGGGAGTAGCTTGATTTGCTGTGCTTGTGGATTGGTTATGAAGAATGTCATCAGTACAACGTCAAGCCTGATGAGGGGGCCCTGCGTGGCCCCGAAAGTGCTTGTTTTCCATTTCTGACAAATTGTTTAATAAAATTAGCATTTGGTGATCCTGAAGGGATTTTCGGTGTGCTGGTGACATTCTTCATAACCAATCCATGCATACAGCGGTGCCATCTGCAGTCATTACAAGCACCCCCCTATAATTTTGGGATATCCGGTGAGGAGTGCAACAAGAGCTTCTCCTTTATCTTGTGTGTTTGTGGAGATACAGTTTACTAGCACACACAAGTGTGACTGCATAGCACTCTGCTTGAGAAAATACTAAACCTTTTAAACATCAAGAAGCAGCATTCATTGTAAGTTATTTCATCAGCATTTGAAATACCTTAAAAATCCTTTTGACTTTAATATCACTTTAACCACTTGATGACCATTGTGTTTACACCCACTTCCTGGCCAGGTCATTTTTCAGTGTTTAGCGCTGCAGTACTTTGACATTTATTCAGTCATGCAACGCTGTAATAAAATTAATTTTATACCATTTTTTTGGGGACACATAGAGGGGAATTATCTGAACTGGAGCAGACAACTGAAACAAATGTGCATGGCAACCAATCAGCCTCTCCCTTTCATTTTCAAATCTTAGCTGAACAAACTGAAGAGAAAAGCTGATTGGTTGCCATGCACATCCACTCCAGTTTATTTTCTGCTCCAGTTTTGATAAATTCCCCTCATAGAGCTTTATTTTGGTGGTATGTGGTGGGTTTTTAATTACTATACAATAAAAATGGTACCGAAAATGTTTAAACATTTTTTTTTTTTTTGGACAAATACAAAAGATGGGTCACATTGGATAAATGTACAACCACATGCATAATACAAGCCCGAACTCTTGTATGTAAACAGCCATCGCTGGCTGTTTACAATACAAGCGGTTTTCCTGCTCCCCCGCTAGGTGGTTTGCACAAGCAGGGTGGGCGAGGACGTTTAAAAACGCCCACTCGCATTCAAGAAGCTCCCGGCTGGCAATTTCATTAAAATGGCTGGCCAGTAAGCTGTTAAAGTGTATTTCAACTTTTGCAGTGACATTTGAGAAAACCCCCTCTATGTTTGTGTTCCTAGTCACACAGCATACTGAAAAATAACTTGTAAAAAAAATGTCTTATCTTTTTAGATGTTTTGTTAAGTTAGGCAAGATGGCTGATTCCGTTTTTTTTTAGTGCTTTCACAGTGGTCTGTAATTATAGAAAGACTTGGGACTAAAGTTTGAGGATTGTGTTTATCTGATAAGCTTCATTAACATACAATGGGCAAGCCACCTTAGACGCTTCGAAGCCCCCTCCTAACATTTCAATAGAAGCTAAAAGAAATTTTAACCCTTAAAACCCTAACCCAAGTAAAAACAATTTTAAAAGAGAACTATGGGGTAATTGTTTTCCCCATAGTTCTCTTACGGGTCACGGAAGGACATATACTAACCTCTTCCCATGATCCAAAGCTCAGTATATAGTGGGCTATTGCCTGCGATATACTGAGAGCGACGCAGCCGGGATGGATCCCGACAATACTGTCGAGATCCCTCCAGCTGCGGGAGTGACAGCTGGTTCTGCCTATCTAGAGGCAGAGCCCGCTTTTCCTGCCAGCTCCCCTGTTCGTTACTCCACTCAGCGCTGCAGGATCGGAGAGGGGAGGAGGGAATCCCTGACAGTCACTGCAGGGAGACGATTGGGAAGTGAGCGGATCAGCTGCATGTTTCTGCTCACTTCCCGATCGATAGAGCTGACCTGTGACAGCTTCTTTGTCACAGGTCGGCTCTAACTATGAGCATGAATGGAAATCACTCGCCTCATAGTTCTCCTTTTTAAACTGCAAGAAGCCATTTTTTTTTTTTTTACTTCTGCTATGTGAATGGGAACATGTAACAAATATAAAATATCCCAATTCGGCTGCCAAATTGGAAATATACTTTAAATGAACACAGAGAAAAGGATTCTGTGGTTTAAAAATCTAATATTCCACCACCCCAGTTTAACAAGTGATGCATTTAAAATATCAAGGGTCACTATAGGTAAAAAAATGCAGCAAACTAACAAAAATCAGAAAAGTGCAAAAATAATTAGGAATAGTAAAACCAATTGGCTAAAAAAACCGCTAATGAGGGTGATTTTTTTTCATCCTTTAACAAGAGTTCACAGTGTTTTGTTTGTTTTAATTAGGGATGTCCCGATACCCCTTTTTTAAGACCAAGTACTTCCCCTCATGTACTTGTCGATACCAATTACCGATACTTTTTCTTAAAAAGTCAGGTGACATTTAAAAAAAAACAATAGACTAATGATTTTAGGCCAATTTGTTTATGATTATGAAGAACTGTTTTAAGAACAATAAAACATTTAACCTATTCATGTTTTCAACCGCGATCGTGTGGGACCGCCCAGGCGGGAAACGCGCAATCTGCATGGTGCGAATGGAGTGCCATTAGAAATGTATGGCACTGCCAGCACAATCGGCGATGGTGTGCGATTTTGTGATTGCACACTACCGCCGATCGCGCTGGCACTGCCATTATTTTCTAATGGCACCCCAGTCGTGCCAGGCAGAATGTCTGGTTTCCCGGCGCAATACCGCCCTACCCGTGCGGTTGCACACGATCGCGGTTGAAAACACTGTGCGTTTATTCTAATGCAGATGATGGGGGCAGCGGGGCTGGTTTTAATTTTTTTCAATTTTTATTTACTTTGTAAACATTTTTAATCATTTATTTTAACTTGTCTTTTTTATTTTTGTTTAGTTACATTTTTAATCCGTTATTATTTTTTACTTTTCCTAACTCTTTTTCACTTAACTTTATTGCTATCACACATGGGCTAAAAACCCCTGTGTGATAGCATTTGGAGGTGACAGGTACTCTTTATTGGACCTGTCGCCTCCAACACAGGAGTTCTAGCACAGCACAGCACTGGGCTAGAACTCCTGTGACAAGAACGAGCTGGGGACAGAGGCTGAGGGAGGTGACATAGCCTGTCACTGCTCCACGCCCCCTGCCCTGTCACTGCTCCACGCCCCGAACTATATGTCTCGGGCGTCCGGCAATACGAAATCAACACCGATGCACAAGCATCGGCATTATGCACCGGGGCATTTTCACAAGCACTTGTGAAAATGCCCTGTATCGGGCCCGATACCAAAGCTAGTATCGGTATTGGGACATCCCTAGTTTTAATGTTGTTCCAGGTCAGAATATATATGCAATGGGGTGCAGAATTCCTATTGCCCAGGGCATGCAGTTCCCGGGCGCCAGACTGTCCCCTCTCCCCACCTTACATTTAGCCCTGCTAAAGGGTGGGAACGGCTGTCACAGGAGGCAGAGCCGGGGGGGAGGGGGTCTGCTGGCAGCAGTGTAACAGGAGGCTGACCTCTCCTTCACACTGCCCAATCGGCCTTCTGTGTCAGGATGGGAGAGCAGGTTACAAACACTCACCGATCAGCTGATCACTGAGTACATAGTAAGCGTAATGTGTCCCCAGTTATGAGTAAATAGGAAGTGCTCTACATCACTTCCTGTTCATGATTGTGGACATAGTAACTCATACTATATCCAGTTTATTAATGGAGAGAAGCACTCTTGTTCTTTCAAAACGGGCATAAAGAGATTTCCCAAAATCTACCGACAACATTGTATGTGTGGTATGTGGATACATGCGTGCATGCTGGCCCTTTCCATTGTGCCATATTGTGGTAGCAGCACTCTTTAACACGCACAATGTGCATTAAACAATAAGTTCACTTTCCTAAGTAATTTTGGAAGATGGAATTACTCGCTTAAATCTGGCCCCCTCTTCCCCCTCCACTATACTTACCTTTTGGCAAACGGTCTAGGGCTGCAGCTAACTATTTTCATAATCAATTAGTTAGCCGATTATTGAGTTCGACTAATCGGATAAAAAAAAAAAGGCTCCAGTGATGGACTACTAGTTTCTATTGAGATTGTAGTCCATCACGGGAGCAAGCTTGGCGTGGTGGAAGTAAAAAAGAGTGTGGTGTGCAATATAGTACATTGTAGTACATAGTACAGAATACCAGCAGCTATAGAGGAATGTAGCAATAGTACATTATACTATAATGTACTATTGCTGTGATTTGTAGTCCTCTGTAGCTGGGGTTATTCTGCATTGCACTGTATATAATGTATTATTGCTGGGATTTGTAGTCTTCTACAGCTGGTGGCATTCCGCAGTGCGCTGTATAATGATTATACGGCGAAATGCAGAATACCAGCAGCTATATAGGAATACAACAAATGCCAGCAATAGTAAAACATTATACTATAATGTACTATTGCTGGGATTTGTAGTCCTCCATAGCTGGTGGTATTCTCCATTGCGCTGTATAATGATTATACTGCACAATGCAGATTACCACTGACCAGTTATAGAGGAACTACAAATCCCAGCAATAATACATTATACAGCGCGATGGAGAATACCACCAGCTATAGAGGAACAACAAATCCCAGCAATAATATATTAAACACCCTGTATAATGTATTATTGCTGGGATTTGTTGTTCCTCTGTAGCTGCTGGTGTTCTACAGTCTGCCGCTTTTTTAAAAAAAAAACAGGTCCCCC